AATGAGTTATTAAAATGCAGAATTTGCAGCCAAGAATGCCACAAGCATAGATGGCTTTAAGAGAGGATTAAATTCATGGAGGATAGCTCAGTGGCTACTAGCTATGGTGACTAAAGGCAGCCTCCATATTCAGAGATATTCAAGGTCTGGATACCAGAGCCAGGAGGCAACATCAGCGGAAAGCCTCAGCCTGTATGTCCTGTTGTTGGCCTTGCAGAGTAACTGGTTGGCCACTGTACAAGACGGAATGCTGGACTAGATGGACCACTGGTCTCATACAACAGGGTTCTTATATTAATAGAATTGCACTCTGAATCTTACATATGAATGGCAAATTTTTGGTATCTTGAGATTTTTACGTCCAACTTGCTACTTTAAGAACAGGTGTAGAAAAAAGTAGAAGTGAACTATATATATATATTTTTTTTTGGGGGGGGGGACTTTCTCAAGCGAATTCACCAAGCCCAAAGTTGCTGGCAAAAGTTTCAGTCTATTTTCTCTTCATTACATTTTTTCAGCGTTCGTAGTTAAAAATGTCTACTGATTGGAGGGATAGTGCCAAACACGGTGGCTAACACTGTTGCTCTAAAAGTAAACTGAGAAATGATGGGGCTTCTTAAAAAGCATCCCAGACATTTATGAGTAGTAGTAGTAGTAGTAGAAGAGATTGGATTTATACCCCGCCCTTCACTACCCAAAGGTGTCTCAGAGTGGCTTACAAACTCCTTTCCCTTCCCCTCCCCACAACAGGCACCCTGTGAGGTAGGTGGGCTGAGAGAGCTCTGACAGAAACTGCTCTTTTCAAGAACACCTCTGACAGAACTACGGCTTGCCCAAGGTCATCCAGCAGCTATGAGTGGAGGGGTGGGGAATCAAACCTGGTTCTCCCAGACCAGAGCCTGCTCACTTAACCACTACACCAAACTGGTAAAATTTGGAAATAATCAAAATACAAACCAAAAAGAAAAAAAAAAGAATACTTGTCAAAATCTAGAGTGAGCTCATGAAAGAAGAAGAAGAGAAGAAGAGATTGGATTTATACCCCACCCTTCTCTACCCGAAGGAGTCTCAGAGCAGTTTATAATCCCTTTCCCTTCCCCTCCCGGCAACAGACACCCTGTGAGGTAGGTGGGCTCAGAGAGCTCTCTCGATAATTGCCCTTAAGAGAACAGCTCTGAAAGAACTTATGACTGACTCAAGGTCACACCAGCAGCTGCATGTGGAGGAGTGGGGAATCAAACCCGTTTCCCCCAGATTAGAGTCTGTGTTCTTAACCACTACACCAAACTGGCTCTCAATTTGACTTCCAGAATTTTTGCATTTATTGGATTAGGGAAAAGGTTGTATGAAATCAGAATTCTGGATGTGTGCACGGATTGTATCAGTGTCGATGTGCAATCTGAAGTACACATTGAAGCTTGCACACACATGCAGCTGTGGAACCGCTGTGTGTGTGTGGAGGAGAAGATAAATAAAATATATATCCAGAGGAGCATGCATGATCCAGATGTTTCTTACATGCACCTTTTTAAAAAATGGTTTTTCAGAAATGTTTTCCTCCAGACTACCTTCAAATGGCTCTTTAAACTCTCCCAGAAATGAAAAGCATGTGGGAATATGGCATAAGAACTTTTAAAAAGAGGACATGGGTGGGGGAAAAAGCGTGCACATCAATAACATTTCCCCATCAAAAAGCCATTGTATCAAATCATTAAATTGCCTTTTGAACCCGGAGGGCTTTATAGAGATGTATGAAATACATGCCATATTTCAATCCCTCAAATCTAGGCAGTTTAATGTGAACGTTATGCAAATCGAGCACATTAAATTTCTGGGCTTCTACCAGTTGCTTTGTGTCTGTAGGGGAATGATCAGTGGAATGATTTACTTCCTGGGCCTTTTATTATTTTTAGGAAAGAGTGGGTCTTTCTTGTCTGCACAGCCCTTTCTTCGCTGAGTAACACAAGTTAGGGAGAAATGTGGCAATGGTGGAGTGGCTGTCTCAAGGACTTTGGATGACACATTTGCTTGGAGCTCCAAACTTCCTAGGTGCACATGGGCCTGATTCGGCTTGGAACTGTGGCAAGTGTGGCAAAGGGGCCTTCCCCCATGTACATTGTTTTCCCGATCTGTAGTGGTCCTGGGAAACTACTCTTCTTTCCTCCAGTAGGAAACTTAACATGTAACTATCCTTATATCATTGTCAGCCAAAAGGACTTTGCAATATGTGAATCAGCCTATCAGATGTCCCACTTTCTGTTTTTCCCAGCAATGCATGGCTGTACTAGGGTTGCCAACCTCCAGGTGGCACCTAGAGATCTGCTATTACACTTGATCTCCAGACGAGTGAGATCAGTTCCAGGTGGTGACTGGAGATCTGCTATTTACAACTGATCTCCAGATGACGGAGATCAGTTCCATTGGAGAAAATGGCTGCTTTGGAAGCTGGACTGTATGGCATTATGCCCCAAACTC